TGTTTTTTCTACATACCTCAGGGTACCAGGCGGCTCGTGAATGCTGGTGGTGGGACAGATGCAGCATCCCACAGAAGCATTGGGGGCGGGGGGCAGCAGTGCACTTGGCAGTGGACCAGAAGCACTTCCAGTCTCATTATGAGTCTGCCAGGGAGCACACAGGGCCTCCCTTCCCCCCCTGCACCCTCCTATCTCGGTGACTGGTGCCCCTGGGTCTGGGGGGGGTACCCAGGGTCCCCCCACAGCTGATTGCTGAGCTTGGGGTGGCACGGGGGGCCTCCCAGCACACTCCCTGGCAGACCCAGAAGTCGACTGCCAAGCATGTGGAGGGCCCCCCTGTGCTCCTGTGGGATGCTCCCTCCACCCAGGATCACAGCGATCATGAGCCGCCGGATACCTCAAGGTATGTAGAAAACACGTTTAAAGTCGTGCCTGTGTCCGAATTGCTGATTCTCTGAATCGGTAGCAAATCTTCAGATTTGGATTTGGCCGAATCGAATCGGGGACAGTGATCCAAATCAACTAATCAAATCACTGTCCCTGATTCGGACCGAATCCAAATTGAATGTGTCCTGTTTTGCATACCACTACTAAGATGACATAGTCCCAAAAGGCCCACAGCTGTGTGATGGAGTCTTACATTCACCTTGCATAAATAGGTCAGGAAGCTAGCTGGCTAGACATCTTTATAGTAAGTAACTTCCAAGGGAAGTGGTGCTGGCCCCTACCCTGGGGGTCTTTAAGAAGAGGCTGGATGCCCACCTAGCTGGACTCGTTTGAGTCCCATTTCTCTTTTTGGGGTTTTTGTTGTTCTCCCGCCCTGGCGGGGGGTCGGGCTAGAAGATCTACTAGGTCCCTTCCGACCCTTAATCTATGAATCTATGAATAAGTAGAGCTGGCTGAACATTAGGAAAGTTTTCACAAATATATCATTTTTGAGGGGAAGATCCTCAAATTCATCAGCAAAATTTTCCTCAAAGAACAGTGCAACAAAATCTGCCCCTGAGAGGGGGGTCTTGTTTTTCCTCTACAGTCTCAGCATTGTTCACATTTCCCCCATTTCCCACCCACCCACTTCAATTAGAAAGTAACTCCAGATCCCTGCTTCTTTGCAACAGCTATCGGCTTTTGTCCAGTCTATAGATTAATTTTTCAGAGTTAGTGTTAGTTCAGGTTAGATAAAGATAATGAAAGTTTCCTAATCCTCTTAAAGAAGATTTATCTGGCTGAGTAGAAAGCTCTCAGAATACAATAAGGCATGTATAAAACCAGGACTTAATCTTTCCTTTAATTTCAAACAGCTGATGGGTATTGATTTTGCAATGAGCAAATCTGACAAATTTCTGTGCCCCAACTTGTCTCTTTAAAAAAAAAAAAATGTCTACATTTTATCCTCTCTCCATTTGGAAATGCAAGGGTCTGATTACTACCACCAATCAGCTGTCATTAAGGAAGAGAAAAACCCACCCAAATCCCTCTTGTGCCCATTTAATTATGTAAAGACCTCAGAGACAGAGTTTGTTACTTTACCACTTGCCCAGATAGTTTTATGCTGTTCTGCATGCCAGTTCTCTGAAATGTAGTGTCATTTTCCATTTGGGACGTGCTGCAGGCTTTCTGGCTTTCCAGTGTTACGCTAGACAGGGGGAAACAGTCTAGAAAAAAAAAAATCAGAAGCAAACAAAAGCCAGGAACCTTCCCTCCCTTTGGGGGACATTCATCCATCTCTAGACCCAAATTGAATTGAACCATCAGAGACATTTCCTTTGCTACATCTTTCATTTTTACGTCTCTCTGCATGCCGGGATTCCAGTTGGCTATGGAAGGCAAAGTGCTAATATTGCTGCAAAAGCCTGATCTTGCAAGATATGCAGCCTAAATTTGTGCAGCTGACAGGCGGCTCTGAGAAATGCCTGTCTATATAATCTCAATCTATTTATCTCCACTATCTTGTCTGTATCCTTCTAATCCATTCAGTAACCATCAGTGAAGTAGCTGAGCACTTTACACCTCATATACTTTTATAAAGGTTTGTGAGTGGTTTCTCTTTCCCTTTCTTTTCAAGATCCAAACTCAAAGTTTTTGAGGTTCACCTGTCCCTGTCTTTCATTACAGTGGATCTTGGGGCGAGTTCAGAACCAGATAGGGATCAAGGTAAGATGGGGCTCTGGAAACAGTTTTCAGGTCAAATCAGGGCAAATCAGGGCAACATGTTGTGTTCTGATTTGATGGCATTGAAATTCCTTGTGCTATTTTTGCAATAGTTCAGCTCCCAGAAGACAATTCTATGAGAGAATTTTCTTTTTTTCCCCATCTGGATGTGAAATCTTAGAGGAAGAACAATTCTCAAGAGGCTTTCTCGGCATCAAACTGTTTACTAGCAAATTACCTGTAAAAATCCCAGCGCACTTGTGTTAACTCTTTCTTGACATTTCAGTGAGATGACTCAAGTTGGGCATGTGTTAAGTACCTTGCTGAATGTGATGGTGAAGTCTGGTGGTTACTACCCAGTTGCACATGGGCACAGTGTGGCCACCCCTCCCGAATTTAGTTTTCAAGTTCAAACTCCCCAAGAAACATCAGTGTAGGAGGAGGATGTTTCCCAGTGATGTCTGTGGAGTGTAGTTTGGCTCTGACAGTGTTAATGGTGAGTCTAGAATGGAAAATAAAAGGGAGAAGAATCGAGTGTCAGACTTGACTTGAACACTTCTCCCTGCCTCAATGGGTTAATTCGAAGAAGTAGAAGTGGGGAGGAAAAGCTGGCTAGAGCCCAATATTAGGCAGAAGAGAATGAATGTAATATATAATTAGAGGGCAGGAGATATCTGGAAAATGAGGGGCTCTTCTGTTGCTGCAGGAGTATGTATCTGAAATGAATATGTGTGCATGAGAGAAAGAGAGATTATAGCTTCTTCTCTTTTCTCTTCTTCATGCTCCAGCTCTTAATAAATCTTCTGCACATAACACCCAATATCTTGCCTACTAAAATCCCAGCGTGATTATCTTATCTCTTTAAAACAAGGCAAAAAAAAAATCCTTTTATTCCACAGAGACACTTGTGCCAAACTCTGGGTAGGGATGTGTAGCTGCCAAGGAGAACACAGGAAGATTGGAAAGGAAGAAGCGTGCAGCCAGCCCTGGCTTTCACAGTGGCGCAGTCTGTAATGCAGACCTTTCCTAATGGGTGGGGATTGTCAGTCATAGATTTCATAGACATTAGGGGCTGGAAGGGACCTGGCGAGATCAAGTCCAGCCCCCTGCCATAGGCAGGAAGTCTGCCGGGGTTAAACAATCCCAGCAAGATAAGCATGCAAGTGTCTTTTGAATGAGTCCAGAGTAGGTGTTTGCACCACCTCTGGGGGGGAGTCTGTTCCAGACCCTGGGCACTCGGACTGTAAAGAAGTTTTTTCCTATGTCCAGTCTAAATCAGCCTTCCAGAAGTTTGTGGCCATTAGACCTTGTTATCCCTTGGGGAGCCCTGGGGAACAACTGCTCTCCCAGTTCCTGGTGCAAACTCCTTTATATACTTATAGGCTGCCACCAAGTCCCCCATGAGCCTTCTCTTCACAGGCTGAAGAGTCCCATGTCCCTCAGCTTCTCCTCATAAGGCTTGCTCTCTTAGCCTTGGATCATGCAGGTGGCTCTCCTTTGGTTTCTCTCAATCTTATCCACATCCCTCCTGAAGTGGGGGGCCCAAAACCA